AAAAAAAAAAAAAAAAAAAAAAAAAAAAAAAAAAAGAAGAGAAACACTGTCTTTAAATACCCCCTTGCCTGTAAGACAAATTTCAGTTTTTAAAAAGACAGCAGAGCAGTGATTTCAGAGCCGAGTTTCCTCTTCAGTGCCAGGTGCCTGGCACTAGTGGTTCCACACTTTGCAAGTATTCGCCCATTCACAGCAGCTGCGTGAGGTGGTAGGCAATCATGTCAGTCTCTTTTTCCAGAAGAGGAAACAGGCTCAGAGTGGGCACCACACAAGGTCTCGTCGTGAGTGAGTGGCAGAGCTGGGGCCAGCTTCAAAGGCAAACTTAAACTGCCATGATGCAGGCGTCCATGTTCCCAGGGCCGATCACCAGTGCTGCCCAGAGTGTAGTCATTGAGTCTGAAGCCCCGAACGCAAGGGCACAAACCCTGAAGCTGGTGCCCCTCCTGGACCCTGGCATCTGCTCAGTGAATAGCTCCCTGATTCTGACACAGCCAGGCAGGTGGGAACTCCTGGACTCCCCAGCTTCCATATTTTGCAGCTGGGGAAGCTGAGGCTCAGAGAGGTTATCTGGCTGTCCCTGGGTCACCTGGTGAGGCAGAGGCAGGATGTGGGAGCTGTGGGGTTCATGGGTATGCTGTGGGTTGCCTTGTGAGGTGGGACATGCTGGGAGTGTCCCCACTTTGCAGATAGGAAAATGGGGGCCAAGATGGGGAGGGAACCTGGTCACTCGCATGGAGGCCAGGCCAAAATTTGAAGCTGAGCCTCCTGGGTCCTGCCTGGGTTGAAGGATGTGGGATGGGGATGGCATGTCTCTGAGCCTGAGCTCTTCACAGACGACAGTGCCAACTTCCGGAAGCGAGGCTCCCTGCTCTGGAACCAGCAGGATGGTACCTTGTCCTTGTCACAGCGGCAGCTCAGCGAGGAGGAGCGGGGCCGACTCCGGGTAAGGTGGGGCACTCAGGGCTGGGTGTGGATGGGAAGAGAGGGTATCCAGGTGTCTCTTCAGCTGCCCCGTGCTGGTGCCCGGCAGCCTTCCCTCCAGGCCCAGGTGGGCTTCCAGCACCTCCTGCCACCCTTGCTCTCTGTCCAAGGATGACCACTCCTGGTGGAATGGTGCCACACTTTGTCCTAGCTCCACCAGGCACGATGTCCTGCCTCGAGGCCTCCACCCACACTGCTCCCTCTTCCCCCGCAGGCTTCACACAGCCCCTCTCCTCTTCCAGATTCAGCTGAGCTGTTCCATGTCCACTTAGATGAAATTCGCTTGTGAGGAAAAAGAGATCCTCAGAATAGCCGTGTTTGGACAGGAGCCCGCTCCTGCCGCCCTGCACTGCGACAGCCTCCAGGGCCCGGCTCAGTCAGGCCCACTCCTGCCGCCCTGCGACAGCCTCCAGGGCCCGGCTCGGTCAGGCCCACTCCTGCCGCCCTGCGACAGCCTCCAGGGCCCGGCTCGGTCAGGCCCACTCCTGCCGCCCTGCGACAGCCTTCAGGGCCCGGCTCGGTCAGGGGCCCGCTTCTGCTGCCCTGCGCTGTGACAGCCCCCAGGGCCCGGCTCCGTCAGGGGCCCGCTTCTCCTAAGCTGCACTGTGACAGCCTCCAGGGCCCAGCTCGGTCCTCCTAGGGGTCGTGCACAGAGGCGCCAGGGCTCCAGGCAGCAGGATAGAGGGGGAGAAGGAGGGACAGAAGGAACATCAGTGTTTAGAGGAAGCTTGCAAAACCTGGCACAGCCAGCGTCCACCCAGGTGTGGCAGCGAGGGAGGCCATGTGGTGAGGTGTGCGTGAGCAGCCTTCGTGCATGGCGCCCACGTGATTCTCTGTCATAGCTGCCCCCAAAGAGAATTTATTGTGTGTGTAAATGTTGCATCCATGCATCGGGTGGACGCCAGGTGCAGCTGGACTCAGGCACGGGGACGGTGTCCTTGGGACCCACTCCATCGTTGGGCTGGGCTCTGTTCTTTTTGTGATGGCTTCTCCCCTAGGTGGGGCAGCCCCAGCTGCTGCTGGCTTCACCCACCAGCTGGGCCACCCCAGCAGGAAGAGTCCCAGGCAGACTCAGGTCAGCCAGGCTGGGGAGTGTGGGCTGTGAGGCGGGTGGGGCAGGAGAGGGACCTTTGCGGAGGCCTGGTGGGCATCACAGCCTGTCCAGGGCTGGCACCATCCCTCTGACCAGCACCCTTTCTTCCGGTCCCCAGGATGTGGCAGCCCTGAATGGCCTGTACCGGGTCCGGGTCCCAAGGCGACCTGGGGCCCTGGATGGCGTGGAAGCTGGTGGCTATGTCTCCTCCTTTGTCCCTGCGGTGAGTTGGTGTGGAGGATGAGCCCCTTCTCCCTCTTCCTCCCTACCCCTTACCCTGGTCCTGCTTCCACCATTCGAGCCCCAGTGTTTCTAGAGCCCTCAGAGGCCTGGGGGACTCAGACCTGGCCTTGCGCTCCAGGGCCTCCTGGTCTGGAGGGGTTGGTCCAGGTGGCGAGTGCTTTCATGGGGACAGCATTGTGAGGACTCCGGAGTGGGGGTGGTTGGGCTTGTGCCTGAGGGTGACAGGGAGCCACAGCCCTGTGGAGGGGGGCACGTTGGGAGCCAGATGTAGGGCTGAGTGCCCCACAGGGTCGTGGGGTGAGCCTTATGCTGTGCTGAGGCACAGGATCCGAGAAATAAAGAGACAGGACACAGAAGTACAAAGAAAACACAGCTGGGCTCGGGGGGTCACGCCACCTATAAGCAGAATCAGGCGAGGCCCCGAATGTCCAGAAGCATGAGTATTTATTGTGCATAGGTTAGGGGGCAGGGCAGTGAGTGAAATCATCTTTAAGGATAGTGATAGGGTCGTGAGCAATAAAACATGGGGTCCACCTCCATTAGGTCACCTAGGCCAGGAGATGGACAGTGCGCAGCAAGGGGCCCGTTCCTATGAAGGCAGGGGCCGTGTGCAGTAAGGGGTCCACCCCCATTAGGTCACCGAGGCTTGAAGGTGGGCCGTGCAGTGAAGAGGGTGCAGTGTGCAATACTTCTATCTATGGGAAACTACTTCTAAGAAGATTTATGGGAGGATGCTTTAAGTCACATAGCAGTGACAAAGCTGTCAAGGTTACTGCCACCTGCTGGCAGCTTCCAATGGGTTCTATGGGAAGATGCTTTTCAAGCAGCACAGTAGCAAGAGCTGATAAAGTTCACAGTCACCAAGGTGGATTCCCGTTCTGAGGGCAGCTTTCCACAAGAACTGGAGCAAGGTCCTGCAAGTCCCTTTATCAGGAGGAGTGGCTCTCGCCCCAAGCCTGCCATACAGCGGGTATCTTTACAATACTGAACGCTGCCGCCTGGGCCATGGATTCTTGTCCTGGTATAACTGTTTTTCCCTTAAATCATGCTCTGCACTGTGTCTGCTCCAGGCATTCCTCCGATTATAAGCTGCTTATTCCTTAATTCATGCTCTGTACTGTGTCCACTCTAGGCATTCCTCCGATTATGAACTAAGATATAATTATAGGTATATATGTAGGGAAATATTCTTTAGGCACTCATACTATCAACTATTAATGATTATATAGAGAGGATTATATAAAGGGATTCTTCAAGCCCTATTTCTATAAACTAATATATGATTATGTAAAGGATTATATAAAAGGAAATAGCTGAGTAGTAACACTATAAAGTGAGATATTCCTCAAGCCCTAACTGTGCCAGGGCTCTGCTTAGCTCTCATTCCTCGGTGCCTATATGGGGGGTTACCCACAGGGGGCAGCCGGGGGAGGTTAAGAGTGGAGCCCAGGCGGCAGGCTCCACACCTCTGCTGACCCCACTCCCCCCACAGTGCTCCCTGGTGGAGTCGCACCTCTCAGACCTGCTGACCCTGCACGTGGACGTGGCTGGCAATGTGGTGGGCGTGTCGGTGGTGACATACCCTGGGGGCTGCCGGGGCCACGAGGTGGAGGATGTGGACCTGGAGCTGTTCAACACATCGGTGCAGCTGCAGCCGCCCGCCACAGCCCCAGGGTGAGCCCGAGTCTGCTGCCTTTGTGATGACCTTGCCGCCTGCCCTGACCCTTTCTGGGCCTCTCACCCTTCTCCTTCCCTCCCCTCCCGCCAGCCCTGAGACGGCAGCCTTCATTGAGCGACTCGAGATGGAGCAGGCCCAGAAGGCCAAGAACCCCCAGGAGCAGAAGTCCTTCTTTGCCAAATATGTGAGTGGGGCTCCCCCGCCTTCCCATTCCCTTCCCGACAGTGCCGGTGTCTGGCCGGGCCCTCCCTGCTCCTGCCCATGGTGCTCAGGCCTGCTCCTCATCCTCCGGGCCTCCTGCGTGGGGGCCCCACATCCTCCCTGCCTCCTGTGTGGGGACCTCTCGTGCTCCGGGCCTCCTGTGTGTCCTCCTGCTACCTGGGCTGAGGGCTGTCAAGGCGTGTTTGCAGGAGGAGGGCGAGGAGGTGTGGTCAGGGGAGGTCAGCCAGCTCTAGGGCACAGGGTCCTGGGGCAGGTCTCGGCCTGAGCTAGGCTGTAGCTGTGAGGCCGGAGAGGAAGGGGCCGGTGGAGATTTCAGAGGAACCAGAGAGGCTTGGAAAGGAGGGGCGATTGGTTCCCCGGGGGTTGTACAGGAAGGAGAGAGGAGTGAGTCTTGGAGGGATGTGGCCCAAGGAGGGGCCTGGGGGCAGCAGGGTGCCCAGGAGGCTTCCTGGAGCCGAGGAGCAAGGGGCCTGTGTTGCCAGCAGCAGGTCTGAGTGTGGGGTGCTTGGAGGCTGAGCCACAGGGTGGGGATGCTGGGGATGGGAGGTTTCGCTGCTCGTGGAATAGGTGGCTTCCGCCCAGGCCTCTGGTCCCTGAGTGTGGAGATGGGGATTAGGTTGGGGCACAGGACCCCATGCAGGACAGGGCCAGCAAGGAGGCCGGCGTGGCCCGAGGGAGGCTAGGAGGATGCCGAGGCTGGCATGGCTGAGCCCTGCCATGCTGAGTGCCCTGCCCGAGGGCCTCACCCACTCCTCCCAGATAGTCCAGCAGCTGTGCTGCAGGGAAACTGAGGCCTGGAGGCTTAGCCCCACTTGAGCACCCTCCCGCTCCTCACTGGCCCTAGGGCCCCACGGCTGCCCGCTAGCCCTGACCTGCGCTTCCTCCCTCCCCAGTGGCACCTCATCTTGGGGGGGGCCGTGTTGCTCACAGCCCTGCGTCCTGCTGCGCCAGGGCCCGCGCCACCACCGCAGGAGGCCTGAGTGAGGACCGAGACCCCTGCCCCTGCCCCTCCCTGCGCCCCACCAGCCCTCCCCCACCTGTAGTGATGTAGGGGACCTGGGCGCCCCCCCTCATTTGGCCTCCCCTCACACCGGGCCCCACCTTCCCCACCCTGAGTGGGTCTGGGAGGGACCCACTCTCACCTCCTCCCCCCCTCTCTCTCTCTCTTTTGTGTCTGTCTGTCCTTCCGTCTGGCCGCAGTGGATGTACATCATTCCCGTCGTCCTGTTCCTCATGATGTCAGGAGCGCCGGACACTGGGGGCCAGGGTGGGGGTGGGGGAGGCGGTGGGGGCAGTGGCCGGTGAGGGCTCAGGCCGGTCAGCTTCCCTTCCTGCACACCCAGGGGCCTCCCTTTCTGCTGGAGTCCCCCATGGCCTCAGCTATCCCAAGAAGGGTTTGCTGGCCCCTCCTTTCCCCTGTCCCACAAGGCACCTGGGCCAGCCACTTGTCCTCTACCTTCCTGCTGGCAGAGGAGTGGCTGGACTGGGGCTTTGGCACAGGGGCCAGTGTCTCCTGCACCTGCGTCTCCTGCGCCCGCCTCCCCCGTGACCCCCTGCAGCCCCAGGGGCTTCCCTGCCCATGGAATAGAGCCTGTGATCCTGGCCACTGTTCCAGCTCTGACCCCGTGTCCCCCCCACCCCGAGCCGTGCAGTCTGGGAACATGCCGCCTTCTCTCCAGCCTCTGTGCCTTTGTTCCTGGTGGTCTTAGCCTCCTGCCCCTGGCCGGGCTAGGTGGTCCCGTCCAGCTCCTGCAGCACCCCCCTCATTCTGATACTGGACTGGGACGCAGCCTCCCTTCTGTGCCCCCTTGGGGGCACCCTGGGTCTCCTCCTTAGGGGCAGAGGTGTGAAAGAGCTGAGGCTAGATGGCCAGAGGCTCCTGTGCCCCACTCCTAGCACCGTCCCTGGGGTCGAGGTTTGACATTTGTCTGCCTAGTGCAGACAAGGGGTCCTTGCCTGGAGGGTGACAGGCCTCCAGACTTGAAGGAAAAGGTTTAAGGTAAAAAAGAAAACAAAACCAACAGTTAGTGGAGTCGAAGGTGAGACTGTCAATAGAACCCCTCCACCCTCCTCCCCACCGCCCAGCGTCCTGCCCCGACCTCGGCACTGGGAGGGGCTGCAGCCTTTGGTTGTGTGCACCCTAAATCTATTTAAAAACATCAACAATGTGCTGAAACGTGTGAATGTTTTGAAAAGTTATAGTTACAGCTTCCGGCAGCCAAAAACAACTGTTGTTTTGGCAAGACGGTCCTGATGTACAGGCTTGACTGAAACTGACTGCTCACTTGACATGTTAGAAACCCAAGGAATGGCCATCCCGACGTCACTGAGGCTGTGTGAAGCTCAGCTGTGTTGTGTGACAGTTTATTAAACTGGCCCTTGAATGTTGGACCCTCAAGCTCGCCTCCTGCATTGTGTGGTTATCACTAGCGCCCCAGTGAATGCTGTCGTCCAGTCTGCTGGGTGTGGTTCGAATGATCTCGGGATGCATGACTGAAATGGAGTTACGACGGTAGGTCGGAAATGCGCTTATGAACGGGAGGTGCGTTCACAGGAGCCGACTGTCGGCACCAGGACGTGGCGCACAGGTGGAAGTTGCATTCCCCTCCATCACTTCTTTTTTCTTTTCTTTTTTATTTATTTATTTTTTTTTTTGAGACGGAGTTTCACTCATGTTACCCAGGCTGGAGTGCAATGGCGCGATCTCGGCTCACCGCAACCTCCGCCTCCCGGGTTCAGGCAATTCTCCTGCCTCAGCCTCCTGAGTAGCTGGGATTACAGGCACGCACCACCATGCCCAGCTAATTTTTTGTATTTTTGGTAGAGACGGGGTTTCACCATGTTGACCAGGATGGTCTCGATCTCTTGACCTCGTGATCCACCCGCCTCGGCCTCCCACAGTGCTGGGATTACAGGCTTGAGCCACCGCGCCCGGCCGTTTCTTTTTTCTTTTGAGACAGGGTCTTGCTCTGTCACCCAAGCTGGAGAGCAGGTGGCACGACCTTGGCTCACTGAAACCTCCACCTCCCAGGCTCCGGGCTCCTCCCTCAGCCTCCCGAGTAGCTGGGATGACAGGTGTGTACCACGCCCAGCTAGTTTTTGTATTTTTTGTAGAGATGGGGTTTCACCATGTTGCCCTGGCTGGTTTTGAACTGCTGTACTCAAGTGATCCATCTTCCTCTACCTCCCAACGTGCTGGGATTGCAGGTATGAGCCACCATGCTGGCTTCTCTCGTCACTTCTTCAGTCTAACACCCCAGTGAGCTCTTTCGGCTACCCTGCTCTCTCATCACTCCTATTTGATTTTTTATTTTCCCTCTTGAAGTGTCTGTGCTAGCCCAAACAGATAGTGAGTAATGTGTAGGACTTGCCCCCCCGACCTTTTTAAAGAGAAGGGTCTCGTTCTGTCACCCAGGCTGGAGTGCCGTGGCACATAGTTCATTGCAGGCTCAAACTCCTGGACTCAAGTGATCCTCCTACCTTGGCCTCCCAAAGTGTTGGAATTACAGGTGTGAGCCACCGTGCTCAGCAGAGGGATTATCTTTTTACAGGCTTTTATTTTTTGGTAGCGACACGCTCCGAGGCATCCGTGCCATGGACAAGGTGCACCTTATACCAGACGTGGAAACCACCCAGCTATGCCAATAGAAGGTGGGAAAACAGCAGCACCTGCAAAACTATTTACATATGCACCTGCTGCTTTATGTGGGTAATATCTGCAGAATATCAGGACAGAAAACTCAGGCCGCCTCCAGGGAAGTGGGTGCTGGAGTCTTGGGTGAGCATACAGTTTCTCACTGTGAATCCCACTGTATCTTTTGTGTTGGAGACAGTCTCTCCCTCTGCTGGATTTGAATGCTCCTAAATGCACTTAGGATTGCTTGCCATGCATTTAGGCTGCATGGCAAGCAATCCTAAAATATACAAGACTACATTTAGTATTTTGTAAAATTCTTTACTACCCCCAAATTGTCTACTGTAAACTATGAGCTCCTTATTTGGGAGAGGTGGGGGGTGGGGTGGAGTTTCACTTGTTACCCAGGCTGGAGTCCCCCAACCCCCCAACAGACCCCAGTGTGTGATGCTTCCCTCCCTGTGTCCATGTGTTCTCATTATTCAACACCTGCCTATGAGAACATGTGGTGTTTGATTTTCTGTTCTTGTGTCAGTTTGCTGAGAATGATGGTTTCCAGGTTCATCCGTGTCACTACAAAGGACATGAACTCATCGTTTTTTATGGCTGCCTAGTATTCCATGGTGTATATGTGCCACATTTTCCCTGTCCAATCTATCATTGATGGGCATTTGGGTTGGCTCCAAGTCTTTGCTATTGTAAAGAGTGTCACAGTGAACATTCGTGTGCATGTGTCCTTAAAACAGAATGATTTATAATCCTTTGGATATATACCCAGTAATGGGATTGCTGGGTCAGATGAAATTTCTATTTCTAGGTCCTTGAGGAATCGCCACATTGTCTTCCACAATGGTTGAACTAATTTATACTCCCACCAACAGTGTAAAAGTGTTCCTATTTCTCCACATCCTCTCCAGCATCTGTTGTCTCCAGATGTTTTAATGATCGCCATTCTAACTGGCGTGAGGTGGTATCTCAATGTAGTTTTGATTTGCATTTCTCTAATGACCAGTGATGATGAGCATTTTTTCAGATGTTTGTTGGCCTCATGTATGTCTTCTTTTGTAAAGTGTCTGTTCATATCCTTTGCCCACTTTTGAATGGCCTGTTTTTTTTTTCTTGTAAATCTGTTTTAGTTCTTTGTAGAATCTGGATATCAGCCCTTTGTCAGATGGGTAGATGGCAAAAATTTTTTACCATTCTGTTGGTTGCTGATTTACTCTAATGACTGTTTTGCTGCATAGAAGCTGTGGAGTTTGATTAGGTCCCGTTTGTCTGCTTTGACTTTTGTTGCCAATGCTTTTGGTGTTTTGGTCATGAAGTCCTTGCCTACGCCTATGTCCTGAATGGTTTTGCCTAGATTTTCTTCTACGGTTTTTATGGTGTTAGGTCTTATGTTTAAGTCTTTAATCTATCTGGAGTTAATTTTAGTGTAAGGTGTCAGGAAGGGGTCCAGTTTCTGCTTTCTGCACATGGCTAGCCAGTTTTCCCAGCACCATTTATTAAACAGGGAATCCTTTCCCCATTGCTTGTTTTTGTCAGGTTTGTCAGAGATCAGATGGTTGTAGATGTGTGGTGTTGCCTCCGAGGCCTCTCTTATGTTCTATTGGTCTCTATCTCTGTTTTGGTACCAGTACCATGCTGTTTTGATTACTATAGCCTTGTAGTATATTTTGAAGTCCGGTAGTGTGATGCTTCCAGCTTTGTTCTTTTTGCTTAGAATTGATTTGGCTATGTGGGCTCTCTTTTGGTTCCGTAACTTTTGTATTTTTAGTAGAGATTTCTACTCATCATGTTGACCAGGCTGGTCTCAAATTCCTGACTTTAAATGATACACCTGCTGGGCCGGGTGCGGTGGCTCAAGCCTGTAATCCCAGCACTTTGGGAGGCGGAGGTGGGTGGATCATGAGGTCAAGAGATCGAGACCATCCTGGTCAATATGGTGAAACCCCGTCTCTACTAAAACTACAAAAAATTAGCTGGGCATGGTGGCGCATGCCTGTAGTCCCAGCTACTCAGGAGGCTGAGGCAGGAGAATTGCCTGAACCCAGGAGGCGGAGGTTGCGGTGAGCTGAGATCGCGCCATTGCACTCCAGCCTGGGTAACAAGAGCGAAACTCCGTCTCCAAAAAACATACAAAAAAAAAAAAAAAAAAAAAAAAAAAGTGATACACCTGCCTCGGCCCCCTAAAATGCTGGGATTACAGGTGTGAGCCACCAGGCCTGGCCTCTATAGGCTTCTTTACCCCATCATCAGAGAGACTCCCTGGTAAGGATCAGGGGCTAAAATTACTGGTGCCTCTTCAGCTGTCAGCTGTCAGTCCATCCTCCTTTGCTTGTACCCACCTTCCAGTCAGCGAGGCACAACAATGTTGTTACAAAGGAAACAAACTCAATTTGGTCCATTTCCTGGAATGTAGTCTCCCCAGACAGGTTTGTGTGAACAAATTTCCATTTTCCTTTGTTTGCCATATACAGCCCTACTTGCATTTCCATGGGAGCCAATCCACCCACCCACAGAATGACTTGAAAATGTGTGAAGTTCAGAAATTTCATACCAGTTTGCTGAGCATGTTTATATATTGATTAGGAGTAAAAATGTTCATTTTTAAAAAATGTTACAAATTCTCCCTCTCCCCTCCTTTCACCCAGTATCCCCTGTTCCTCCCCCAGGCATTCTGGTCACTGTTCCTTTTTGTTGGGATCATTGTCAGTGTCTCATACAGCTGGGTTGCAGTTCCATTATTTGCCAGTAGGTGGTGAGAGAAGATTCCACGCACTCAGAATGCCTCAGATTGGCTCCTGTGGCTTCTCTCCATGTCCTTCAGGGAGTGCTGTTGGTCCCTCAGGTATTGTCGGGTTCCTTCCAAGTCCCTGTCCTAGCAGTTGCTGCTCTTCAGAAACGCTGGGCACCGACTTTCTCATCTGTGAAATGGAATTCAGGTGAGGCCCCCCCCCACCCCCCCGTGCTGAGGTGCTTCCAGAGGAAGAGTTGGGGAGGAAAAAGGCATCATCCCCTGCTCACTGAGCTCAGATAGGAAGCCAGGAATTCCTAGCCAACCCCAGGGGCCCCACCCAGTCCTGCCCTGCTCCTTACATGCTGTGTATCTTTAGGCAAGTTTCTTCCTGTCTCTGAGCATTTTCCTTCTTTCTGCCTTCCTGGGCCTACGGCAGGTCTGATTCCTCCAGGTAGTGTCCAGAGTTCCAGACAGATGGAAAAGAGAGAGAGAATGGGAGTCACAAAGGTGTCTGTTCCACTCCTGGGCCTCAGGCTTAGGGCCTGCTCAGGGCTAGCCTGTTTGGGACTCAGTGTGGACTCCTGCCTCCTGGTCAGGACCTGGGAGCAGCCAAGGCAGGAATAGGAGAGGGAGACAAAGGCCCACGGGGCAGGGATGCAGGGGCCATCTGGAGATGGAGGAGGGAGGCCAGTGGGAGTGGGAGGTCTGGAGGGGAGAGAGAGAGAGAGGGAGAGAGGGAGAAGGAGCAAGGAGAGGAGACAGGTCCAGGGAAGAGGGAAAGGAAAGGACGGGGCAGAGACAGAGAAACCAGAGAGAAGGAAGGAAGAGACCCAAGGAGGAGAGACAGGGAAGCAAGAGGGAGGTGAGAAGGAGGAGGAGAGGAAAGAGGTGGAAATGAAACTGGAGAAATGGGGAGGAAAGGAGGGAGGAGAAAGTTCAGGAAAAAAGCAAGAGGAGTTGGTGGCATGTACCTGAGTCCCAGCTACTCAGGAGGCTGAAGTGGGAGGATCACTCGAGCCCAGGAGTTCTGGGCTCTAGTGCACTATGCTGATTGGGTGTCTGTACTAAGTTTGGCATCAATAGGGTGACCTCAGGAAGATCCAAGATCCCTGATTAGACACAACTCCAGCGCACAACACCCAGTGAGAGAGACGCAGAAATCCAGAGATCTCCTAGCTCCAACCAAGGTACCAGGTGCATTTCAACGGGTCTGGTCTGATGGTGAGGAAAGCCCACTCAGGGCAGCCCAGGGCAGGGAGGGGTGCTGCTTCACCCAGAAAGTACATCTGACCGGTGACTTGGAGGCTCCCCCTCTGGCACTCCGGTCCAGATACAGCACTTCCCCTAAAGCCTCAGTAATACACAGAACAGGGGATCTTTGCCAGTCAAGCACCAGGAATTATAAGTATGGAGTTGAATAAGAGCCTGAGGACTGAGCTATCGCCCCTTCCCCATGCCCAGAGAGAGGGAGCTGTAAGCAGGAGCGGCTGGGTGGGTCCCTGCCCTCCCCACAAACCCCAGAGGGCTGAAGCTTTAACTGTAGTCGGATGCGTAGCCAGTGCCACAGTCTGAGGTGAACCCTGAATGATCCAGCCCAGTGGAGGAAGGGCACAACCCACCACTAGAGGGGTGGGACTGGGCTACATGTTTTAACAACAAACACAGGAAGCCTACATAGCAAAGGGACAGTGTTCTTGACAACCCAGCAGTGCCTACAGGTCAGCAGAAGAGGTGGGCCTAATCTCCCAGTATGAACAAAAAAGACACAGGAACCTTCCCTAGTAACCTGAAGGAGTCCCTAGAAACCCAGTAATGCCTCCACAGGCAGACAAGCGACCTCATCAAGCTGCTCTCTGACACCAGAGCCAGGTAAATCCACAAAGATGGGGAAAAAACCAGCGCAAAGAAGGTGAAACCATCAAAGACCAGAACACCTCTTCTCCTTCCAGGGATCACAACTCCTCAACAACAAAGGATCACAGCTTGACTGAGAAGGAGTGTGAAGAATTGATGGAAACAGGATTCAGAAGGTGGATAATAACAAACTTTTCAGAGCTAAAGGAACATGTTCTGACTCAATGCAAAGAAACCAAAAACCTTGAAAAAAGGTTAGGCGAAATACTAACTAGAATCACCAGCTTAGAGAAGAACATAAACGACTTCATGGAGTCGAAAACACAGCATGGGAACTATGTGAAGCAAACACAAATGCTAATAGCCGAATCGATCAAGCAGAAGAAAGGATGCGAGAGATTGAAGATCAACTCAATAAAATAAAAAGAGAAGGCAAGACAAGAGAAAAAAGAGTGAAAAGAAAGCCTCCAAGACACATGGGATTATATGAAAAGACCTAATCTATGCTTGATTGGTGTACCTGAATTTGATGGGGAGAATGAATCCAAGCTGGAAAACATGCTCCAGGATAGTGTCCAGAAGAACTTCCCAAGCATAGCAAGGTAGTCCAACATTTAAATTCAAGAAATACAGAGAACTCCACCAAGATATTCCTCAAGAAGAGCAACCTCAAGGCACATAATCTTCAAATTCACCAGGGTTGAAATATGAAGGAAAAAATGCTAAGGGCAGCCAGAGAGAAAGGTCAGGTCACCCACAGAGGGAAGCCAGTCAGACTCACAGCAGATCTCTTGGCAGAAACTCTACAAGCCAGAAGAGAGTGGGGGCCAATATTCAACATCTTTTTTTTTTTTTTTTTTTTTGGAAACGGAGTTTTGCCTCTTTTACCCAGGCTGGAGTGCAATGGCGCAATCTCGGCTCACCGCAACCTCCGCCTCCTGGGTTCAAGCAATTCTCCTGCCTCAGCCTCCTGAGTCGCTGGGATTACAGGCATGCACCACCATGCCCAGCTAATTTTTTGTATTTTTAGTAGAGACGGGGTTTCACCATGTTGACCAGGATGGTCTCGATCTCTTGACCTTGTGATCCACCCGCCTCGGCCTCCCACAGTGCTGGGATTACAGGCTTGAGCCACCGCGCCCAGCTCAACATCCTTAAAGAAAATAACTTTCAACCCAGAATCTCATATTCAGCCAAATTAAGCTTCATAAATGAAGGAGAAATAAAATCCGTTAAGGACAACCAATTATTGAGAGATTTTGTCACCACCAGACCTGCCCTACAAGAGCTCCTGAAAGAAACATTAAGCATGGAAAGGAACACGTACCAGACACTGCAAAAGCAAACCAGTTGGCAAAGGCCAAAAATGCAATTAAGAAAATGAGTCAACTAATGGGAAAGAAAACCAGCCAGCAACAAAATGGCAGGATCAGATTCACACATAACAGTATTAACATTGAATGTGAATGGCCTAAATGCCCCAATCAAAAGACACAGACTGGCAAACTGGATAAAAAGTCAGAACTCATCGGTGTGCTGTATTCAGGAAACCCATCTCACATACAAAGACACACAGACTCAAAGGAATGGAAGGAGATTTACCAAGCAAATAGAGAACAAAAAAAAGTAGGGGTTGCAATCCTAGTCTCTGAAAAAATGGACTTCAAACCAACAAAGATCAAGAGACAAGGACACTACATAATGGTAAAAGGATCAATCCAACAGCAAGAGCTAACTATCCTAAATATATACACCCCCAACACAAGAGCACTCAGATACATAAAGCAAGTTTTTAATGACCTAAAGCGAGATTTAGACTATTGACCCCTATTGTCAAAATTGAAAGAGCTAGAGGAACAAGATAAAAAAAACTCAAAAGCTAGAAGACGACAAGAAGTAACTAAGAGCAGAACTGAAGGAGACAGAGACAAAAAACTCTTCAAAAAATCGATAAATCCAGGAGCTGGTTTTTTGAAAAGATCACTGCTAGCCAGATTAATAAGAAAAGGGAGAAGAATCGGCCGGGCGCGGTGGCTCAAGCCTGTAATCCCAGCACTTTGGGAGGCCGAGGCGGGTAGATCACAAGGTCAAGAGATCGAGACCATCCTGGTCAACATGGTGAAACCCTGTCTCTACTAAAAATACAAAAAAATTAGCTGGGCATGGTGGTGCGTGCCTGTAATCCCAGCTACTCAGGAGGCTGAGGCAGGAGAATTGCCTGAACCCAGGAGGCGGAGGTTGCGGTGAGCCGAGATCGCGCCATTGCACTCCAGCCTGGGTAACATGAGGGAAACTCTGTCTCAAAAAAAAAAAAAAAAAAGAAAAGGGAGAAGAATCAAATAGATGCAATAAAAAACGATAAAGGGGAATCACCACAGATTGCACAGAAATACAAACTACCATCCGGGATTACTACAGACAGCTCTACTCATACCAGTAAACCAGGAAGAAATGGACATATTCCTAGACACTTGTACTCTACCAAGACTAAACCAGGAGGAAGCTGAAACCCTGAATAGATCAATAATGAGTGCTGACATAGAGGCAGCAATCAATAGCCTACCAACCAAAAACAGTCCAGGTCCAGATGGGTTCACAGCCAAATTCTACCAGACGTACAAAGAAGAGCTGGTTCCATTCCTTCTGAAACTATCAAACAATACAAAAGGAGGGAATCCTCCCTAACTCATTTTATGAGACCAAGATCATCCTGATACCAAAACCAGGCAGATTCAACTAAAAAAGAAAACTTCAGGCCAATATCTATGATGAACATCAACGCAAAAATCTTCAATAAAATACTGGCAAACAGATTGCAATAGCACATCAAGAAGCTTATCCATCACCACCAAGTAGGTTTCATCCCGGGGATGCAAGGCTGGTTCAACATATGCAAATCTATAAATGTAATCCATCACATAAATGGAACCAAAGACAAAAACCACATGATTATCTCAATAGATATCGAAGGCAGAGAAGGCCTTCGATAAAATTCAACAGCGCTTCATGCTAAAAACTCAATAAACTAGGTATTGATGGAATGTATCATAAAATGATAAAAGCTATATATGACAAACCTACAGCCAATATCATACTGAATGGGCAAAAGCTGGAAGAATTCCCAATGAAATCAGGCAATAGACAAGGGTGCCCTCTCTCACCACTCCTATTCAACATAGTATTGGAAGTTCTAGCCAGAGCAATCAGGCAAGAAAAAGAAAGAGTATTCAATTAGGAAAGGAGGAAGTCAAACGGTCTCTATTTGCAGATGACATGATTGTATATCTGGAAGACCCCATCGTCTCAGCCCAAAATCTTCTCAAACTGATAAGCAACTTCAGCAAAGTCTCAGGATACAAAAATCAATGTGCAGAAATCACAAGCATTCCTATATACCAATAACAGACAAACAGCCAAATCAAGAGCGAACTCCCATTCACAATTGCTACAAAGAGAATAAAATACCTAGGAATACAACTAACAATGAATGTAAAGGACCTCTTCAAGGAGAACTACAAACCACCGCTCAACAAAGTAAGAGAGGACAGAAACAGATGGAGAAACATTCCATGCTTATGGTTAGGAAGAGTCAATATCGTGAAAATGGCCATACTGCCCAAAGTAATCTATAGATTCAACGCTATCCCCATCAAGCTACCAATGACCTTCTTCACAGAACTGGAAAAAACTACTTTAAACTTCATATGGAATCACAAAAGACTCCGCATAGCCAAGACAATCCTAAGCAAAAAGAACAAAGCTGGAGGCATCACACTGCCAGACTTCAAAATATACTACAAGTCTATAGTAATCAAAATAGCATGTTACTGGTACCAAAACAGAGACACAGACCAATGGAACAAAACAGAGACCACAGAAGAAACACCACACATCTACAACCATCTGATCTTTGACAAACCTGACAAAAACAAGCAATGGGGAAAGGATTCCCTGTTTAATAAATGGTGTTGGGAAAACTGGCTAGCAATGTGCAGAAGGCAGAAACTGGACCCCTACCTGTCACCTTACACTAAAATTAACTCCAGATGGATAAAAGATTTAAACATAAAACCTAACACCATAAAAACGGTAGAAGAAAACGTAGGCAAAACCATCCAGGGCAGGCATAGGCAAGGACTTCATGACTAAAACACCAAAAGCAATGGCAATAAAAGCCAAGATAGACAAATGGGATCTAATAATCTCCAGAGCTTCTGTACAGCAAAAGAAACCATCATTAGAGTGAATTGGCAACCAACAGAACAGGAAAAATATTTGCAATCTACCTATCTGACAAAGGGCTCATATCCAGAATCTACAAAGAACTGAAACATATACAAGAAAAAAACAACCCCATTCAAAAGTAGGCGAAGGATATGAACACTTTTCAAAAGAAGACATATATGAGACCAAAAAACATGAAAAAATGCTCATCATCACTGGTCATTACAGAAATGCAAATCAAAACCACATTGAGGTATCTCACGCCAGTTAGAATGGTGATCATTAAAAAATCTGTAGACAACAGATGCTGGAGAGGATGTGGAGAAATAGGAACACTGTTACACAGTTGGTGGGAGAGTAAATTAGTTCAACCATTGTGGAAGACAGTGTGGCGATTTCTCAAGGATCTAGAAATAGAAATTCCATTTGACCCAGCAATCCCATTACTGGGTATATACCCAAAAACTAAGTCGTTCTACTATAAAGACACATGCACACATACATTCATTGCAGCCCTGTGTACAATAGCAAAGACCTGGAACCAACCCAATGCCCATCAATGATAGACTGGACAAAGAAAATGTGGCACATAAACACCATGGAATACTACACAGCCATAAAAAACGATGAGTTTGTGCCTTTGTAGGGACTTGGATGAATGTGGAAACCATCATTCTCAGCAAACTGACACAAGAACAGAAAGCTAAACACTGAATGTTCTCACTCATAGGTGGGTGTTTAACAATAAGAACACGTGGACTCAGGGAGAGGGGCATCACACACTGGGGGCAGTTGGTGGAGGTGGGGGTAGGGGAGAGACATCGGGAGGTGGGGAGGGAGGGGCGGGATAACATGGGGAGAAATGCCAGGTATGGTATGCACCTAAGATAAAATAAATAAATTTAATAAATTAAAAAATATATATGGTGACCTCCCAGGAGCAGGGGACCACCAGGTTGCCTAAGGAGGGAGAACCAGCTCAGGTCGGAAACGGAGCAGGTCAAAACTCCCGTGCTGATCAGCAATGGGATTGAGCCTGTAAATAGCCACTGCACTCCAGCCTGGGCAGCATAGTGAGACCCTGTCTCTTAAAAAAAAAAAAAAAAAAGGCCAGGCGCAGTGGCTCACACCTATAATCCTAGCACTTTGGGAGGCCGAGGTGGGTGGGTCACCTGAGGTCAGGAGTTCAAGACCAGCCTGGCCATCATGGTGAAACACCATTTTTTTTTTTTTTTTTTTTTTTTTTAAGGAAGAGGGAGAAAGGAGACAGAGTGGGGGCCGGAAGTGGAAAGAGAAGAAAAGGCAGAAGGGGAAAGAAAGACAGAGTGAAAAGGACAGGAAGGAGGGAGAGACAGGGTGGGAGCCACTGGTGAGCTCGGAGAAGAGGGAGGCAGAGAAACGGGTGAAGGAGGGAGACAGGCATGAGGGAGAGGGGCCGACTGCCCAGGGAGAGGGAGGGAGGGAAGAGTGGGAAGCTCCAGAAAGAGAAGAGGAGAGAAAAAGGAGAGAGCCAGGAACAGGAAGGAAAAAAAAGCTAGGAGACCGTGAGACAGAAGAGAAAAGAGCGCAGAGAGGAGAGTGGCAGGGAAGAGAGAAAGGATGGGGAGAGGAGAGGAAACAGCCAGAGAATGTGCTAGAAGGGACACAGGAGAGAAGAGAGCTGGACAGGGAGAGAAGTGAGAAAAAGGAGGGTGGCAGCAGAGAGGACAGTGAGAAAAAAGAACAGGAAGAGAGGAAACAAATGGGAGGGGGCAGAGACAGCAGACCTGATGGAGGAGGGGACAGCGATGCAGCGGGCAGAAGGGAGGAGAAGGCGAGACAGACACATTGGGAAGGGAGTCTGAAGGGAGAACGGAAAAAAATACTAAAAAGGGCAGAGAAGAGAACAGGCCGTGTGTGGTGGCTCACACCTGTGGTCCCAGCACTTTGGGAGGCTGAGGTGGGAGGACCACTGGAGCCTGGGACTTTGAGGCTGCACCACTGCACTCCAGCCTGGGTGAGCAAGCGAGAAAAAAAGCAGAGAGGAAAGAAGAGGTGCGTGAGTGTGGAAGAGCAATATGGAGAGAGAAGGGAGAGAGGATTGGAAATGGTTGGGGACAGGACGGTGCCCCTCCAGCTGAGGGGTGGCGCCTCAGGACAGCGTCAGCCCAGAGACCGGAGCAGGAAGCAGGAACTTCGTGAAGCAGGTGAGGAGCTGGTGCGAGGCAAGGACAGGGCCAGGCAGGCCGGCTGGGAGTCTCCTGGGCAGAGCCAGGCTAGGAACTCGGCCACACAGCAGAAACGTCCACCAGCCTCACAAGAGACGCCCCCTGCCTCAATGGGGCGCAGCCATCCTGGGGCCATCTCTGACCCAGGGAGAGAGAGGATGGGGACGGGGAGGAAAAGAGCAGCTGTGGAAGGGGCAACAGAGGAGGAAGGAAGGAGCTAGGGGGCGGGAGAGCAGGAGACAGAACAGGACAGAGGCAGCTGCCCGAGATGTCGGGAGAACAGAAAGAGCGAGGAATTGCTGAGCACCGACCTGGGGGAGAGGAGCAGAGAGAAGTGAAGGGAACTGGAGAGAAGTCTGCCCGAGAGGCAGAAGTGTCAGAGTAAGGGTGTGTGTGACAGAGCGGGAGAGCCAATGGCAAGATAAAAGGCGCAGAAAGCAAAGCCACACCCAACTCTTCATCCACACTGAGACGGGTTGTCACTCCTGCCCCAGCGCCATAGCCGATAACAAGTAGGAACCTGGATAAAATGTTCTTAGCTATCTTAAAAGCATCAAACTGCAGACAAGACCGTAAGGAAGACGTGGGTCAGCACGCAGGGACGCTGGAGCCCATACTGGTGAAGTGGGAGTTACGTGTCCTTGGTTCCAGGGATCTCTTGGTCTGGGCCATCTGGACTTCCGTGTGGACAGCCTGGGTGACACGGGGACCCAGGACCCTCACCTGGGCTACCTGGGGTACGTGGGATCAGAGAAACATGCCCTCCACCTGTCCCTTACTTCCTTTTCAGATCCAACCTGCAGGGCAGGGCGCAAGCGACCAGGCTAGCAGGGAAGGGACAGACAGTGAGCAAGAGCCAGCGGGATGGTGGTGGGGACTGCAGAGGCCTCTGCTGCTGGAAAATCAGACGCAGACTACGAGCACCTATGCTCACTGTGTTAATAAGACAAAAGACCAGGCTCATGGATGCACTGATATTAACAAGAACAGAGTACAGAGAGAGATGAGGAAGGCAGAAGAGGGCAGGCTGGATTTCCTGCTGTCCACTCCGTGACCTCCTGTGTGGTGGCATATCCTTCCAAGTCATGGGGTAACACCCCGCGGCCCAGACAATGAGCTGCAGACGGATGGGAATATGCAGCTGTGGAGACACGCGAGCTGATGGTCCCGGGACCTGGCAGGACATGAAATGAGTTTCCTAAAGGGTGAAACATCGCAGGACCAATTGTCCTGATCGTCCAAGGCAGGGTAAAAATATCCCAGCACGCGGAGGAGCCCTCCCTGTCCCGCCTCATGCAAGGGGCCTCGGGCCTCTGCAGCAGCAGCTGTTGGGAGTCAATAAGAAGACAGGATGCAGGAGGGGGACGGGCTGGGAGGTGAGGGGACTGCAGGCGTGGCGGGGTGAGGTGGGAGGAAGGCTGTCGGCGCCAGGCGTCAGAACTGAGGAGCCGGCGGGAGCAGAGAGGAGAGAGAAGGCTCAAGGACGATGACAGGCAGAGAAACCGTCTGGAAAGGAGGGAGCAGGCGTGGAGACGCAGAGCTGGGAAGGACTTGGGGGTTTGGAGGTGACGGGAGAGAGCTTGCAGGGTGAGGGAGAAAACGGAGAGGAAAGAGCCAGGAGAACAAAATCAATACCAAGAAGGCCAGGAAGGAACAAGTGAAGGTGAGGATGGAAAGGAAACAGGAGAGCCCCACGGAGGCGAGAATGGGAGAAACAGTGTCGGAGGCCGAGGGAGAGAGACGGCCGGAGACAGAGAGGGAGAGAAAAAGAGACAGCAAGAGAGAGAGACAGTGACATCGAGAAAGATGGTGAGAGAGACAGCAAGAGGGAGACGGAGAAGAGAGCGAGCGAGAGAGAAAGAGCGAGACAGAGACAGCAAGAGAGACAGGGAGAGGGAAAGAGACAGCGAGAGAGAGAGAGACACCAAGAAAGAGACAATGAGAGACATAGACAGCCAGAGAGAGACAGAGAGAGGGAAAGAGACAGTGAGAGACAGCGAGAAAGAGCGAGACAGACACCAAAAGACAGTGAAAGAGAAAGAGTGAGAGACAACCAGAGAGAGACAGACAGCGAGAGAAAGAGACAAAACGATGGCAAGAGAGACAGCAGCAGTGAGAGACAGATGAGAAATGAGAGCTTGACTGAGGCACCACACAGAAGCCACTGGGTGGGGCTCACTGAAGGCGCCCAGAGGAAGGGGAGGGGGAGGTGACAGGAAAAAAGAGAGGCAAATCCAAGGGGCAGAAACTGGAAGGAAGAGGAGGGAGGCAGGGAGACCAAGGGCACAGTCCAGTGCTGTGGACGGACAGGCAGGCACAGTCAGACTGGGGCCCCGTCAGCTCGTCCTCTGGGGGTCAAGTACAGACAATGAGGAAATGAAAGGGTGAGGACGAGGGGGAGGACCCAGCACAGGGAGGGGAGAGGGCAGAGGACCCTGGGGGTTGGCAGTCTAGAGGATAAGGGAGAAGATTCCAGAAAGGCTGAGTCACAAGGTGGGCATTCAGGAAAAGGTGGGGCTGGGTGGAAGCAGGTGAAGGACTGGAACATCACCCAAGGGACTGGAACATCACCCAAGGGAGGAACAGGAGTGTGTGAGACCTAGAGAGGAGGAAACACAGAGGGTCCAGTGAAGGAAGGGACAGGGACAGCCTGTGTGTGTGTGTGTACTATGGAGAGAGGGGAGGAGGATAAGGAGGAGGGAAGAGGAGGAAGGAAGGGGAGGAAAGATGGGGAAGGAGGGGGAGGAAGGAGGAGGAATGGAGAAGGGACGGGGAGGGAAGAATAGGAAGGAGAGGAGAAAAAGAGGAGGAGGAAGGAGGAGGAGTGAAGAGGAGGAGGAGAAAAGAGAAAGAGGAAAGAGGAAGAGAAAAGGGAGGGGGAAGAGGAAGGGGAAGAGGAAAGAGGGAGGAGGAAGAGGGAAGAGGATGAGGAAAGGAAGGAGAAAGAGGAAAGGGAGGATGAAAAGGAAGGAGGAAGAAGAGGAGGAAAGGGGGAGGAGGAAGAGGAAAGGGAGGAGGAAAAGGAAGGGGGAAGAAGAAGGAAAGGGGGAGGAGGAAGAGGAAAGAGGAGGAAAAGGAAGGGGGAGGAAAAGGAAGGGGGAGGAGGAAGAGGAAGGGGGAGGAGGAAGAGGAAAGGAGGAGGAGGAAGAGGAAAGGAGGAGGAAGAGGAAAGGGGAGGAGGAAGAGGAAAGTAGGAAGGCAAGAGGAGGGAGGAGGAGGAAGGAGAGAGGAGGAAGGAAGAGAGGAAAAGGGGGAAAGAGGAGGAGGAAAGGAGGAGGAGGAAGGAAGAGGAGGAGGGAGGAAGGATGAGGAAGTAGGAGGAAGGAGGAGGAAAGGGGGAGGAAGGAGGAGGAAAGGGGGAGGAAGGAGGAGGGAGGAGGAGGAAGAAGGAGGGGGGAGGAGGAGGGAGGATGGAGGAGGAAGGGGGAGGGAGGAGGAGGAAGGAAGGAGGAGGAGGAAGGAGGAGGGAGGAGGAGGGAAGAGGAGGAAGGACAGAGGAGGAAGGAGGAGGAGGGAGAAGGAAGGGGAGGAGGAAGGAGGAGGAAAGAGGAGGAGGAAGGAGGAGGGAGGGAGGAGGAAGGAGGAGGAAGAGGAAGGAGGAGGAGGGAGGAGGAGGAAGAAGGATGGAGGAGGGAGGAGAAGGAAAGAGGAGGAAGGGGGGGGAGGAGGAGGGAGGAGGAAGGAGGAAGGGGGAGGAGGGAGAGGGAGGAGGAAGGATGTAGGAGGAGGAGGGAGGAGGAGGGAGGAGGAGGAGGGAGGAGGA